ATCAAGAATCTTTAAATATAACATTACAGCTTGGTTTTTCAAAACGCCAACCTGTCGGCGGAAACAAAAAGCTCTTGAATTGGAACTCGAAAAATTAAATGAATCCAATGAATTACAAAAAAAGAAAGGAGGAAAATAAATAAGGTTCATATGTCAAATGATTATTGATTCGATGTTTTTATAATATATTTATCAATAAGAAAAGGCGAATAGAAAAGAATAAAAAAATAATCTCAATAAACTATTCTTTTGTTGTAAACATTGAAACAATACAAGTTTTCTGCTTTAACCATATTAATTTAGCGCTAACTTTTGTTTAGTCTGTAACGTTATAAAAAGTAATAGAAATATTACTGCATTCGTTAAAATGGAATGCTAATTATACATGAAAACTATAAGACTACATACACTATAAGAATACATGAAAATAAGACATGAAAAATGTGAGTCTTCTTTATGGGAGTTTACATTTTGTACTATTATTAATTTATTAATTATTAGTTTTTATTAATTACATTAATTCGCTCTTTGTCGTATAAAATATAGATCATTCATTTTGCACAATTCTTTCCGAGTGAATACCTATCTGGATTTATACAAAAATCACGAACACATGATCGATGTATGTGTCATAGGCGTGACCAAGGCTATTACATCACATGATTACGTTTTTTACAATTATTGACAGGCTATTCATATAAATCTACGAATATATATATATATATATATATATATATATATATATACATATATATATATATATATCATGTGTGTATATAATAATAATAATATTAATAAATATTATTCTTTAGAGAGAAAAATCTCTTTTCATATTATTGTTATTCTTCTAGAACTTTATAAAACAGATACATAATAAAATTCTATATGAGAAAAATTAATTCTGTAAAATATATAAGATTAATATATTGTAAAACATCGTAATTTTTAATGGTGATATAACAATTTTTTTTAGTCTCATGACATAATAATTTTATGAATTTACAAGTGATGAATTGAATTATATGCTTTATTCATAGGAAGCAAGATAGATTGGCATATAATTTCATCGCTCGTTCACGTGATACACTGCGTGACAGACGAGATACCGAGACTGCATACCGAATAATCGATTAGTTCTGTTGCGACTCTATACTTCCTTGTCGAGAAAGAGATGTAAACGTTGTTTTTGATTAGCACAATTATGAATCACATTGTCATCACTCACAAAATGGTATCTGTGGTACTAAACAGGATGCCTCCTGCTTGCCTTTGGACAGTGCCACACAAACGTCTCATTAAGCTCGACGATTAGTTATCTCGTGCACTTTCTTCAACGTTAAAATTAGGCTGTCGGGTCTATTGTTGCATTGGAAGAAAATTTGCAAGTACAAATTTGTTTTACACGCTCTACTCGACAAAAATTAATTTTTTTTTATATTTATGAACTCTAATGATCCTTTAAATTTAAGAATGATAAATAAAATAATGTGATTTCTAGATTTTTAATGTGAGAATTAGAAGGAATATAATAACAAAATGTTAACAGGAAAATAAATGTAATAAAAATTAAAGAAAAGTTGAAGAAAAGTGATAAGATGCATATAAAATAGATAATTTAAATTAAAAAATATTAAACTGGATATTATGAAACGTTGGTTTGACTACGAAATGATTACAATATTTTCATTTATGTGTAAATGATTTTCATTCTCATCATTATAATAAACAAGTTATAAATAGTTGGACTAATCTAAATAACATAACTTTGTTATATTATTCATTTATAACGTTTATTTTTTCAAAACTCCTCATTCTCATTTATTATATTTCTACCTTGATGCGGGATAATTTAATTTCGATAAACGTCATTTAATAATTTGATATAAATTTTTATACAACACGACAAGAAACTAGCGAATAAGAGATAATAAGAGATAAATTTTTATAAATCTATGTTCTCAAAATTGTACGAATATATAACAATAACTCCTAATATTTATGCAGACCTTGTAATGATAAGATGTTTCTTTATATTTCATTTGTATATTTTTAAATTTAACGATTTTATGCCACAAATTTGCTTTTTATATTTTTTTAAAAATTGTTACATAAATTACGAATTTGCATCTCATACTTATACATACTTATCTACATACTTATCTAATGCAAAGTGCCTTAAGTCATAATCTCAATTTTAATTACAAATTCTTTTGCTATAAACTTTTTAATTTCTGTTGAATGCGCACTAGCGCATATTGAAACGCATATTATACTGTGTTAACATTTCGTTTAATCGACATTCAAAATAATTTAAAATTAATTTAAAAATAATTTAAAATAGTTTTTAAAATTAACTAAAATATGTTTGTGATATATTTATCAAAATATTGCATGTCAAGAAGTTGAATGTTCTTTATCACAGACGCAAAATTCGTATTTATATTATGTTAAATCCTTCTGCAGTTGCTATTCAAATGAAATATTAACATTTACTTTGACATATTCAATTTCCTTCAATGTCATTTAAAGACACATATATTAATTCGTAAACGAATAAGTGAAATAGGAATTTAGCAGTTGAAATCGCAAATCGATGATAATATTATACAATTTTAAAATTCACCAAATATTCTCGAAAGCCTTTTTTTTACGAGAGAGGGGAAAATGCTTCTTACGCACGCCCCGCCTTCTGTAGGGCGGGGCAGTGTGGATTCTCGAAAGCCTAAATTTGAAACACTTAATATTAAAATAATATTAAATATTCACCGCTTTAATATTAAATATTCACCGCTTTATATTCATGTTAACATTCCATTTTATCAGTATGATAGGAAAACAACAAGCATGTTAATTAAAATATTAACGACTTCCGCTATAAATAATTCCAAAATATCGATCTGACATCTTTGCGCTTCTGGCATTTAATTTATGAGAAGCCTTCAAAAAGTAATTCATTTGTTTAATTTTAATGTGCGGCTATTTAAAGAGCAATGTATACACATCAGCTGATAAGTTGACTGATGCAAGAAAGAAAAATGAACTCAAAAACAATCAAGAATTGAAAAGAAAGATCTGGCATCCTTGAGACTTACGCTTATGACGATTTTTAGGAAACACTGTCTTTAACACGCCGGAATGAAACTTAAACTTGGATTATATTCATAAAAAAAAAACCTCTTTAATGTCGCAAGTTGAATCACTCTCGAATCCACGCTTGTAAAGTCCTCCATTTCTGTAGAGAGACGAATACAGCATTTATTTAAGAAAAAAATCTGACTCGAATCTAATCTAATCTCTTGATGTATCATCGATTCTATTGCATTGTAGTTTTTTAGCAACATTAAAGAAGTTATTACCCGACAAACTCCAAGTAACAGATATGTAAACATTAATTATAATTTCCCACTCAACAATATAATTATTATTTAAGGATGTTTTGTACCTATTTTCAAAATATTGAGAATTTAATGAAAATTGTACAGAATGTCCTTACATATGTTTAAAATCTTCCGTACAATTTTTAAATCGATTCACTAAAGCGTTAACACAAGTTACAAGGATTTTAATTTGTACCGAATTAATGTGTTCTTATGGGGAACGTATAACCACGTCGATTCAAATGACAAAAACACATGAAAATAATATTCAGAATATGTTTAAAATTTGCAAAAGTTTAGATACAGAGGAAATATTTAGTCATATTAATAATAAATAATATTATATAAGTACTAACTGGTTAAAAAGATATTAAATATAATTCAATCAAGTTAGCCATGTATCTGTCACAAGGTGAAATTCTCTGCTAAAAGTTAATCATTTCGATGAACAAAATTCGGAATATTTCAGTAAAAATGCAATAAATATTTAAAAATACATCTCTGCACTGTAGCTAAGATCAAATTGTATTCCACACAATTTCTTACTCAAAATACACCAAAAGTGGATATATTCGTCAATATTAATTTTCAGCTACTTTTTGTTGAGATTGTACATACAAAACATTCTTAACACATAACAATATAACTTACATGTTATATAATTGTTATTTAACAGTTATATAACATGTAACAGTTATATAGGATATCTTAAAAAGCTCCCAGTAAGCAAATAACGTTATTCCTGATTAAAAACCGAGTCGAAAAGTCCTGAACCATTTTGTTCCCTAATGCTTAATAAAGCATTAATTAATGAGTAAAATTCCGCCAATAAGAACACAAATTTCCTCGTTATCAACATATGAAGATTTGGATAAGCAACAAAATAAATTGTTTTGTGCTAATATTTAAATAATTCATCTTTTCAGAAATCTTTTTAATACTTAAATCTGATTAATTATTTAATGAATTTTGGAAAAAGAAAATGGATTCAGAACTTTTCGACTCGATTTTTAATCAGGAAATAACGTTATTTTCTTAGGAGCTTTTTAAGATACATCCCGTATAACTGTTACTTGGTGTACGCCGGGTACCGTATCGGAATATACGACTCGTATAACGTAAAATTGCAATGAAACCCATCGAACCGAAGACAGTCGCGGTATCGATCCTCTTTCGAATCATTCGAGACAGCGCATCGAGTCGCCTCGCCCCGTCTCTCTTTCCGCGCTCCCCCTCGTCCTCACCACGCCGCAACGCGCCATGCCATGACAATGCCGGTACGTTATCGTCCTCCTGATAACGCGCCGGAGTTATGTAAAATAAAAATAGGAGATGCGACACGTGCGTGGCCGCGAAATTTTCCGTCATGATATCGGGAAATGTTAAGTGAGCCGCCGGGTAAGGCCTGCATCGCGATCCCTGGCCTTGGCCGGAGGTTCAGACGGCAAGGATGTCGGTGTCGCGTGCGTGCGACGCGCCGAATCGCGGAGCGCGCATTCGCCGCGCGGCCCGCGCTCCCATTGGTCGCCGCCACATGGTCTGATGTCAGACCACGACCACAGGGACGGTCCAATTCAATAATAAGATGCTGGTATGCTTAGGTTTGTGCCAGTACTGTGTCTGATCGCACGACGGTTTCGTTGCTTTACCAGGGAGCAAGAGCCACTCGCCCTCTGCGAGACGAAGGAGTGCGAGTCACACGAGATCACGCGAGGAAGCGACACCCGCAGTGATTCAAAAGACCCAAAAAGACGGGACGCGACGCACGGTACAAGTACACACCCTGAATAACTCAGATAGCAAAATCGGATAGAGAAAGTTTTGCAATTTATGTGCCGCATACTATGTCAGCAGAATGCTGTCAATATTCTAGCAAAATATGCCGTTTCAGTTAATGTTTTCAGAAACACAGCAAAAGTTGAGCATAACGTGCGTTACGATGTAATGATAGAAATGCAGCAGAAATAAAGCAGAGTTTTACCAGCATAAATAGAACAATTCAATGCTGGAATAATGTGTCGGCAGAATGCATACTGAGAGTACGCATAATCTGTTGTCACAGTGTAATAGCAAAATCTCATCAGAAATATCAAACTTGTGCAAGCACGCTATGACAGCAGAAACACAGCAGCAATGCAGCATGCTCTGCCGTCATACGATGACATTTAATTTTTTAAATACAGGATCTGTGCGACGCAATTTGACAACAGATTGTCGGCAGAAATCGAGCAGGATCTGCGCACAATCTTTGATAGCAGATTAATGGCAAAAACGGAACAGAGTTTGCATGATTTGATAGTTCCTTCACTTACCGCTACGTGAGCTGTTCTTTCTCGTAATTGAATTTCTGTCAGAAATATATATAAAGTCGCGAATATGAATAAAAGACTAAAAGTATAGTAATTATCATTTTAATTTCTATCACTTTAATTTCTGATATCTGATACAAGCAAATGAGAGTCAGAATATTAAACTGATCGGAATCAATATGATAAATTGAAAATTATTCATACTGCCTATTTGAGGCATAAAGCAAGAATTTAATTCTAAATAAATTACATCTCAAATTTTACAAGTTACATTTACTTTTATCATTTACTTTATTATTAATTTAATTAAATTGAATTAGTCCTTCGCTATATGAGATATATAACTACGGTATAACATATTACATATATGTCATTTTCTAAGAAAATTCTTTGCCGATAATATTGTTATTTAGCACCTGTAATAATTTATTTTGTTGCATTTATATAACATTAATAAAAGTAAGCGCAAATCTTGTGAAGTTTATGCTGCCAATTTGTCATCAGGTTGCATGCGCAGATTCTGCTCGGTTTCTGCTGATAATCTAACATCAAATTGCACGCGCAGGTCCTGCTCGATTTCTGCTGTCATATCATGACAGGCACACTGTGCTTCATTTCTGCTGCATTTCTGCCTTCATATCATATTGACACATCGTGTTGGGAAAAAAGAAACTTAATGAGGACACAGCTGAGCGATATTTGCTGCAAATTCATGATTGAATCTGCTGTTATACTGCTGGCATACTGCTAGCATTTTGCTATCTGGGAAAGTATCGAGTTGCAATTCCTCTCTTTGACTCTCCGCTCTGCGGGACTCTATTCATTTCTCTTCGAGATTATACGTGTTTACGGGAGGAACGCGAGTCAGGTGAATCCGGACGATCGATATAAGGGGTGATGCGAATATAATCGTCTTCCGAAGTTAGGTTTCGAGACGTCCTTTCTGGTCCTTCGGAAATCTTTCCGAGTGTCTTCGAGTCATTTGTCCGTATTTTTCTCGAGGAGAAAATTTCTCTTCGTTTCCCAAGACGGCACAGACCATTGTTGTTACATTGGAGGAATATACATTGATTTGTGCTGTGTGGGTCGGAATTCTAACCCGAAAAAGTTACCGGCACGAGACGTATCGTATATTTCAAGGAAAAGCTTTCGATTAATTGGAAAAGCAATGACATTGATAAGAATTAAGAAACGGAGCAATTATTCGTACATTCCAATTGGAAATTGGTTGTATGTCGAATGAATATTGTATGTTCTACAAGATATATTTCTTACCAGAAATATGCAAATAAAGTGCATTAAGGATCTTTTGTATCTATTTTCAAAATATTAGGAATTTCATGAAAATTGTACAGAATGTCCTTACATATGTTTAGAATCTTCCGTACAATTTTTAAATCGATTCACTAAAGCGTTTACAAGTTATAAAGATTTTAATTTGCACCGAATTAACATGTGTTCTTATTAGAAACGTATAATCACGTCGATTCAAATGACAAAAACATATGGAAATAATATTTAGAATTTGTTTAAAATTTGCAAAAGTTTAGATACAGGGGAAATATTTGGTCAAATAATATTATACAAGTACTAACTGGTTAAAAGATATTAAATATACTTCGATAAAGCCATGTATCTGTCACAAACCGAAATTCTCTGCCAAAAGTGAATCATTTCGATTAACAAAATTCGGAATATTTCAGTAAAAACGCAATAAATATTAAAAAATACATCTCTGCACTGTAGCTAAGATTAAATTATAATATTCCACACAATTTTTCAAATACACCAAAAGTGGATATTCGTCAATATTGATTTTCTACTTTTTGCTGGGATTGTACAAAACATCCTTAAACGCGACTTATAAACAAAATTGCATCATTCCTTAACCCATTCAGACCCTATGTGCACAATTATGTACAAAAACTTTAAAATCATTTGAAATAGTTATTTTTTAGAATTACTTTCCCTGCGATCTCCCGGTGGAAAAAAAAATATATATATATATATATATATATATTTATATATCTCGTCGTTTTAAACCCTTAACATCAATAAAAATTAATTCAATAATGTTTTACATTACAGAAAAAATTCAGGTCTGAATGGATTAATGAGCTCTTTATAAGTAAATTTTGATAACCTTTTGTTAAAACAAGATTTCTTGTTTTCGAAAAAATATACGAGATGAAACATGTATATAAATATTTTGAAATATAAAAATTCGTATTTGTTAATTTTCTATGATCAACGCGGTAGCGTCGCGCCAAGTACATAAAAAACAAGTCCAAGCATTGAGTTCCAAGCATTGAGTTGAGAGTCACTGCTCTCGATGGGGCGCTACCAAGTACCTTATCCGGAATTTCGCGTCAAGTAAACTTTCGGTTAAGAATTTAATAAACTATTTAATAAACTAAAGCCATAATCAAAAATCTAACGACACTTTTATGATAAAATGTGAATATATGCTTTCGATTGCGACCTGTTTGAACAAAATTGGTGCAGTTAATCCTGAGAAATGATGATCGAATATCAGAATTGTGACATTTTTCGTTTTCCTTCATTTCCAGTATCTCGTACGTACATATGCTCGCACGCACATACGCAAAGCGAATTTGTCCCTCAAGCGGCATTCACATCGCTGCGTATACGATTATTGTTTCGATATGTACAATGCTTTAAGTGACAAAATCATATGTGTGCATGTGCGCACATACGTGTGATATGTATATGTATGTGTACGTACATATGAAAGATAAATTTATTAAAGTATAGTGCGGAATAGTATAACAAGGAATAGAAGTGACACGTTAAGGTTACTTGTTTAAAAAAACAGAAGAGAAGTGACATATTAAAAGTTATTATCAAGCAACGCAGTAGCGTCGCGACGCCGAGTGCATTGATTAGTAAAAACCCAGATTTGTGACACTTAACGAGCGCCAAGTGGACTGTGATTGTGAAATTTTTCTCATTTCTATTTAGATTAGACATAATATATTTTGACATATTATATTAATAAAGAGAATAGACAGTTATCATTTTGTGGAATATATTTGTATAATTAATAATTATATATATATATATATATATATATATATAATTATAAATTATACAAATATATTCCACAAAATACATACATATATACAGGGTGATTCATTTTAATCGCCCCAGGCGGATATTTCAAATGCTGTTGAGTTTAGAGAAAAATGTTTCAGACAAAAGTTGTATGGTTTCAAGGGGGACTTAAGATGGTACCATTGGTTTGACCTTGAAGAGTTATTTGAAGGTTACATGAAAGTCACCTTCAATTTCTTAAACGGAACCTATATTTTCTCTTTACATATTCTTGTAGCTTATCTCGAAAGCTTTCCAAAACACTATAATAAAGTACCTTTTCGTTAAGTACTTTTTGAGTTATAAGGCTTGAAATAATTTCTTAATTTTACATAAATCATAAAATATCTAGTAAAATATTCATTTTTCGATTATCTTACCTTAATACTTTTATGTACAAAATAATGAGAGGAATCAATTGGTGTAAAGAAAACACATAGTTGTTTCTAAGAAAAAATATGTAATTTGCAATTAACAATTACATATTTTTTCTTAAAAACAACTGTATGTTTTCTTTTTACCAATTGATTCCTCTCATTATTTTGTGCATAAAAGTATTAAGGTAAGATAATCGAAAAATGAATATTTTGCAAGATATTTTATGGTTTATGTAAAATTAAGAAAAGATTTCAAGCCTCATAAGCGCCTCGAAAAGTACTTGATAGAAAAATAATTTATTATAGTATTTTGGAAAGCTCTCGAGATAAGGTCCAAGAATATGCAATGAAAAATAGGGGGTTCCATTTAAAAAAATGCACTTCCGGTCTGAATTGTCTATTTCCGGCCGGAATCAGAAGCTGAAAATATCATCATTCGATAGAGCGCACCCCAGATTTATAAAGAAAATGTATTTACTTTTTTGAAATAACCCCTCCTCTAGTTGTTAAATGGGTGGTACAGGTGGTCTGAAACACCCTGTATAATTCGTGTTCCTTATTTACAATTTTAATCTACATTTATAGAAAAGTTCACTTCAACTGCGTCAATATTACAATGGCATTAATATTTCAATTCGTCAATACTACAATGCCAGAGCCAAAGATCAATGCTTCTAACATGCATAATAAACCGAAATTGATCAATTATAGTAAAAGATTTTTAGACTCGAGTAACGACATGATAAACAAATCGAGTCTTGAGCACCATAGCATGCTACAAAGTGTTAACAAGTACATATTCACACTATATTCTTTTTAATAGTTTGTTTTCCTAGTGAAGTATGTGTGTATATATGTATGCACGATACATACATTCTGTCTCGAGTCAAATGTACATTTTCTTTCTGTTGTTGTATGTTATTTTATGTACCGATTTCGAGATGAGATGCTTGTAATAATTTGTAGAAATTTCT